ATGCAGAGATTGAAATTTCTCATACTATTGTTCAGTGTAATTATCTTAGCGTCAGCTCTGTATTTTGTGTCATACCAAGTTCAGCTCCGAGTCCCTCTGATCAAAGAGGTTACAGGCACCGAAGAAAAGTATTTTTATCAAATACACAGCTGGCAAGGTAAGTCTGCACAATTTGGTGGGAATTTGCGTATACCAAATGTATAACGTTACGTTAGGGTTAGAGTCGAGTTCGTTTAATAGAGGCTGATACACGCGCACTCCGGCTGTAGTATGAACGAGAAATTCAAAGACTGGAAGATGCGTAGTCGGGTGCGGTATGAAAGATATTAACTTTATTCTACAGCCCACAAAGGCGTATGTTTGTTGGTACATCACCAACAAGAAGTCTTAAACTTCACTCGTCACGCACCCATACAGGCTAGGAGAAGTTACATTTCCGGTTAATTTGATATATATATTTTTGTCCTGGTGCGCGCTCTTAAACTGAGAACTCTCTTCTCATTGCTGTAGCACGTTCTTATCAGTTCCTCAGTTTTGTCTTTCTCAATCTCTTATGTTGACTGAGCCCAAAGCCCGGTTATTCTGTCAGAAAACGGTGGTTAGATTACAGATAACCTAACCGCTTAATCTATCGCCTTAAACATTCTCGACTTTTTTGCACGAAACAAAGGACGTAGTAGAGTGACAAGAATTTTCTAATAGTGGGCCACTACTATTTGACCTTCCAAAGAGGACAAATAATTCTTGACGCAATGCTTTTGCTAACTACAAACAAAAATCCTACTTGAAAATTGATTAATTTGAACATGTATTTCGGATTTTCAAAGAGCCGGCCGAAATCTTCATTACTGGCTACAGTCTTATACTAGTCTGCGAATACCGCCAGTCCTCTCTCCTCGCTCCTTAACTCTTGGAAAGTTCCGAGGGAGATAAAGAGACTGAGAGTATCTCTCCGCGAAAGCACTTGGCCGCGAGGAGCGGAGCGAGGAGAAACGGCCCGGCTGTATTCGCAGGTTAGTCTCATACCCTACTCATGCGATTGGCTTTGTATAATTTCAAATGGGTGGGAGGAATTTCACTTTATCTCTACGTCAAAGACCTTTTCTGACATCAAAATTGAAAATCCCACGACAGGCTTGATAATATATGTTCTTCCTTTTATTTCTGTTTTTGGGTTGTGATCGTAGAAACCATATGATAATTAAACAGCTTTGTCCTGAAATAGTAAAGTTTAATTAACATTTAAATTTCCAATATTTGCGTTTCATAAATTTGTGCCTCAATTGTTAAGTTAGCCGCTAGTCGTGAAAACTGAAAAAGTTTTGACCGCCAGTCTGACCGTAACAGATTTTTCTAGCTACAGTTTGGCATTTTGATAAAGCTCTTTTCAGTTGCATCCTCTCGGTAGATCCTGTTGCAAGTTTTTAAAGGAATGGACATCATGTTTTACATTTAAAAAATTAAAATTAATTTTTAAGATCTGAGTTTACTCTCACATAGTAAAAATTAACCGTTAATCGTAAAATTGGGAAACGTCATAAATCAGGTGGTCGTCAGGCAATTTTTATCTAAAAGCGGAGTTAGTCTGTTCCGTTATTACGACTTTTCTTGTTTATAAAAGAGAAAACAATTTGAAAAATACATCCCCTTGTATTTTTTCGTTGCCTTGTTAGATTAATTGATTTGTTGCTTAGGCAAGGTATGAGCCTTGAGTAAATACAGCCGGACAATTTTCTTAATGGGATGTACTTTTGGAATTGAAAACTCTCTGTAGACTTTTCAATGGGTTTTCTGCGGCGCGCATTTCTCCCAAACTTCGTTTTTTCCTTAAAAATTCTTTAAGAATACTATAGTTCATAAAGCGCAATCGTCAGGAAGCGGAAACGTCAAGGATGAAAATAACGCTGTGCACCGGTGTTGTAGCACATTCAATAATAGGTGTGATTAGAATGCGAGTTGTTGGGTTACGAGTCGCAAGTTGTAATTAAAGGTTGCGTCTCACTACTACTTTCTTTTGTTTTGTAATCGGAATGTTGATGAGATGCAGTCTATCTTTTTTAAATTAAGCAATTTAAGAGCTATAAAGGAAAAGGCCGTTATTTACGTTAGTAACAGAATGACAGGTTTTCTGTGGGTGGTAAACGCACAACATCGCTATTCAACTCGTTCTTCAGCAATGTTGCAAGATAAGTTGCATGGTTTTTGTTGGCCGTTTTGCCCTGCGAGTCGCGACAAGCGAGTGCATAAAGGTAACTCAAAACTCACAACTCCCGGCCTTGCAACCTAACAACTTCTTTGAATACGCTGATCCGTACACAATCGTTTGGGCAGTGAGTCAAAGTGATAGGAATGCAGGTGCGGATCTAGGGGGAAGGTGCAGGGGGTGCGCACACCCCCCCCCCTCCCCCGAGATGACCTGCGGTTTTCTAATACAACTGGTATTCTGCAAAAAAAAACTATGTGGTTTATTGGTGTTGAAGTAGAGCAAGAGACGAGTGCACCCCCTCCTAAAAAAAATCCTGGATCCGCCCCTGGAATGCTATTGAATGACTTGAATGTTGTGCCCGGTGAAATCTAAAAAGGCTAACAAAAGAATCTGACAAAGACTTGGGCTTCATAATCAGATTCCTCTACAAACTATATGACTTTAACAGATTATGCATCAGATTCTGCAATTCGATTTGGACGTTAATTGCTAAGGAGACAAAGCAGTTTTTAAAATTCGTATGGGACAAGCAATCTTCTTTTATGGAGAATGTTCCTTTTTTGTTGAACAGCGGTAGAGTGGAAGTCAATTTGCGCTGTCGTGATTAACGAATAGGGAGTTAAAGCTACCACGACGGAGAAGATAGCGGAAACGTAAAAAGTGATTTCGCGCTATTTCCAACTTCATCGCTATCATCCCACCTCGTTTAATTTGTCAAATTTTGGCTATTTTTTTTTTCGCAGATGAAGCTCTCAGGACGTTGTATTTAAGTTCAGCGAAAAACAGTTTTGTTTTGTATGTCCTATATGTCCATAAGTGGAACGTGAAATTAGGAATTTTTTTACGTAGAAGACGGCAAAAAGTACCCGCCCAATAAAGGAATTTTGCGTAGATAGAAACCTTTTTCGAGTTTCTCGTTATCCTCGCCAAACCCCTGATACTCCCTGGCTACTTTGACTAGTCTAAACGCCTAACAACTCTATATTCTCATCGAAAAATGGTCAATCATTTTTTTTGCACCTCTATATAAGTTTACTGAAAGTAATCAAAAAGTGGTCTGTTTGCTGTGTTAAGCGTTTACTCAGCTTAACCTATTTGCCGAAAATCTTCGTACTAAGCCAACTGAAAAAACGGTTTCAAATTAGTAGACGGACGAGGAATGTATTGGAGTTAACTTTTTTTTTTCACTGTTTTGGCACTACTACAATATGTCTATTAGTAATTGTGTCGATACTCTCCCAGTATCTAAGTTATTTCATACATGGCTACGTTGCCTACATTTATTTGCTTGAGTGTAACATTTAGTTTGGCCTTAGAACATTTACAACATCTCTAGTAAAAGTGTTTACCAATTGCGCACGTGGGGTTTATTTTAACCGTCGTGAAGGTAAATAAAATGACAGTAATGAAAAGATTCTGATAGGCACTTTAAGGCTACTTGAAAGCTCTGTCTAAGTATGAATGTACCACCTTTCGGACCAATAACTGAAGTCTCTAAGCCAGGGGGCCGCGACTGGCATATTCAGCGAAAAAAAAAAGCAATTAAAAAAAGTAATAAAAGTTAACTTTAGTAATGCACCTTCACAATGTTAACATTGGTGATAAACAGTTTATTGGGCAAGTTGTGCAATAATAAGCAGCACGAACTTCTGTCGAGCAGTCGTTTTCCATGCAAAGGAAAAACAAAGAAACATAAACATGTATTTCTGAAGTCTTTGCATAGCGTTAATGTTGTTCATCAATCCGTCCTCAGCGCGATAAATAGGGAGTTTAAGATACCACGACGGCGATGGCCACGAAAACATCGCTTAAAAAGTGAATTTGCGTTCTTTCAATCTCTATCGTGATTACTCGATCTCGTTTACTTTGTCAAATGCAAGCGAACTCTTTTTGAGCCGAACTCTTAAGAATCATATTCAGGTTCAGAAAGAGAAAGAAAATTTAGCCGTCGCTCGTTTGCGTCCTCCATAAAACGTGAAATTAGGCATTTTCCCGTCGTAGTCGCACAGTGACGGTAGAGAAATGTACAAAAAAGCGAGATGCACGTGCAGAGTTGCTGTTTTGACGTTCTCGTTGTCGTTGCCACCGTAGCATCTTAAAGTCCCTAGTACCGGCTGTACTTGGTCGATGTTTTTTATAAATCCACTAAAAACGCTGCACTTAGAAATAGCTAAGATTATCACTAACACATACCTCCGCTCTGCGACTATTAACTGGGCTAAACGAAACATTTCAGGAGTAAATACTAGATTCTTTTTTAAAGTTGCAATCTATTTTCGTCAAGGTGGTCCGCCGTGTAATTTTTCATCATACATTTACATTGACCTGTTCTGACGCCATCTCGGTCAAAAATTAACTTATGAATCGTCTTACTGTGAATTTACTGGAAAATTCACTTTATCTTACTCAACCTATTGAAAAACAGAGAAACGAAACGAAGCACCTCGAGTTCATATGTAACTTAGTAGAGGGGACTAAGGGAATACATTACAACAGGAAAAAACAAAATAAATTGGTAAGTCCTGAAATTTTATCTGTTGCAAGCAAGACTGATGAATTCACGGGAATATGTCTGATATTTATTTTTAGATTTTGTGCCGGTGACCTCAACGGTGAAATTGGTATGTACTTAGTTTGACAAATATCAATTGACATCAGTACATTTAAATACTAAAGCATTTTTTTTTATTTTGTAAATACAATTTTTCACTTCTTTCTTTCATTGCATGCACAGAAAAGGATAATTTACAATCGAGTTGGAAAATGTGGGAGTCGCACAATGATACAGTTAATGGTAACGTTAGCAAAACAAAATAAATTTAAAGTTATTGGTTCAACGAGGAATCAGCTTCTCCGAATCGGCCTTCGAGAACAGGTAACTAGAATCATTATAGCTCAGTGTTTTCAGTTTTCAGTTAATTATGTTAGCTTGTTAGCAGAGATTTCTTTCCGGTATGCTTTTTATTATTTACGAGATCATTTGCGTCGCTGACATTCGCTTAGTTGGCTTGTTTACTTTCCCGGGTATGTAAACAAGCCAACAGCACGCGAATGTTAGCAGCGACGCAAATGACTCGTAAATAATAAAAACCATACCGTAAAGAAACTTCTGTTCGCAATGTAATTATAAGTGAGACTTAAACCAATCAGGACTCGTTCGCGCGCGATTTCCCGCCCTTTGCTGGAACGGGCTACATGTATTTGTTATGAGCTCTGATTGGTTCATTGAATTCCCTGCTTGTATTCTGAAATCCCCAGAGACCAAAGGTAAAGAAAACAGGCGGGAAGAGGATGGTTGTATACGTACGTGTTCGCAAAACCCCGCAAAGCTCAGGTTAAAAGACGCCAAGAGAGAAAAATTGTCAGCAGTAAAACAAAAGGGCCATCCAAGAATCGAGCCCCCTGCCAGGACAGGTGCCAAAAGTACCCTTACTAGCCAGGACGCGTGCGTCATTGCTCTGTGATGAACAATTTTCGAAAGCCACAAAAATACTACTGTATTTAAAGCCTTTTGTCATGGAACCTCTGTAGGGAAACGCCCTTGAAAGCTGGTTGAGCCGTATAAAACTTGATTTCATAGATGAATTTGAGAATAATAAGCAGGCCGGGCAGTAGCAGAGTTTGGCGGTAGAAAGCTTAAACGTAACTTAAACATACTTCATTAATTTGTAAAATTAGTTTGAACTAAAACGAATTTCAAAGTATTTTTCATTATTGATATTCAGGTGGAATTTGTGGACTTCATAGACCAACTACAAGCACCATTCATTTACCATCACCATTTACATTATGTTGATTTTAAAAGGTAAAACAAGTTTCTTGTGGTCTTTAGTTTGCTTAGGATCCCCTCTTTTATTTATAGAGTCTCCGAAAATTGTATTAAAATGATTTTTAAAGAAAATCGCACATTCCCAATACTTTCTGAGGATACAGAGAGTGTTATCCAAGTGATGAAAGTACTGGAAAGTACCACAAAATTCTAAAATCATAAAATCTCCCTTTTCTAAGCCCGTTCGAATATCTGTCCCCCAAATTCGAGGCTGGACTGTAGGTTGTTTCAGGCGCGAACCTAGGATAAATACTGACCGATTTCCTAAACGAGCTCCGAAGACGCAAATTGCTAGGTGGGATCCAGGGGCATGCTCCCCCGGGAGCACCTTTGTACCTTGGTGTCTATTTCACGGAAACTGTGACGGAGAGAATTTTTAAATTTTTTTTAAAAGTTTTCTTTTTAAAGCAATTCCCGTTTGTTTCTGGTTTCAGATTTGGCTCTCTTCAGCCTATCTACATCAATCTTATACGCGATCCCCTCGCACGGCTCGTTTCTGGATATTACTTCCGTAGATTTGGAGATTATAGGGAAGGCCATAGAACATGGAATTTCAAAGGAACAGATAAAGAAAAAAATCAGGTAGGGCTTGTTTGGAATATATCCAAGCTATATCTCATCACGTTGCACAACGAGTGGTTGTGTCAAAAAGTCATGCTGCCCCGTGTTCTGTGGCGGTTTTTTCGCTCAGAAGCATCGGCTGATTTTTGTGGCGGTCTTAGGGGCCGCCCCGCCTCACCCCGCTAAGAATTCTGAGTAAAATAAATACAGTCTAACCTCCTTGTGCGACCACTTTTTTTAAGTGACCACCTCAAATAGGCGACCAAAGTTTCCCTCAGTCAAATCCACCACAGCTGAAACCTATCGTAAACGACCATTTCTCGTAAGCGACCGTGATGACGGTTTTTATCCTTCTGTGTGTTAGCTGTATCAACTATACTGGTCTGCTCAGACACTTCGTCCGTTAGAAATTGCATGCACTGAATTCTCTTCCAATGTAGATTTGTTCGGACCTCTTTTGGAAGAGACTCCTGTGATTCTCGTAAGCGACCACTTAATCCTTCCATTTTGGGTTGTCGCTTACTGGAGGATCGACTGTAGTATCAATTCATCTGGCAAGTGTCTCGTTCCACCCCCCGCCCTTTTTCTGAATTTTCTCGATCCCCCCCAGAGAGGACCGGGAAAGCTGTTTTAAAAAGAGCAGGTCTAAGATGTAAGAACAACATGTCCATCAGCTAGAATAATAGCTTATCTCTGGGAAGACTTTTTTGTCCACAACAACACTTACCTCAGATTAGGGACCTTAAGCAAGGACGACGAGCGAAAACTTCACCGAAAAATAAGATTTGCGCTGTTTCAAATTTCATCGCTCTTATTCAGACTCTTCTAGTTTGTCATAGGTTGGTATTTTTTTCAGGAGTTGAATTCTAAAGGATTATATCTAGCTTTACAAAAGAAAAAGAAAATCACTGTCTTGTGTTCCCGTCCTCCAAATTAGGAAGTTTCACGTCGTAGACGTACAACGACGGCAAAGAAATGTACAAGAAAGCGTGAAGCACGTGCCGAGTTGTTGTTTTTACCAATCTAAACCCATTTACTTTTTTGCCGTCCTCGTTGCCGCCGCCGTCGCTATCGCCGTTGCTTAAGCTCCATATTAAATAAATCACGCCGAGGAAGGCAAACGATATTAACAACACCTTTACTCTATTTTTTTTATGGTCTCAATTCCAAGGTCAGAGTACAGGTAACTGCGGAAGAGATCAATAAATCGAGGGAGTCACTTAGCCCTCTGCTGATCACTGTCCAAAATATAGTTTTAGATCCAGGAAATACTGTTTAACTTAGTGTAACACCTTATCGATATAACAGTGACCTGTCAGAGGAATGAAAGAGATGTGTCCCACACAATTTGGCACTTTTTTCCCTGGGAGTTCGTACAAACGTGTCCGTGAATTCCAGATCAAATTGGACTTTACGAGTGTTTGTTTTTGTGGAAAAGGGGAAAACCGGAGTGCCCGGATAAAAACCTCTCGGAGCAAGGGAGAGAACTAATAACAAATTTAACTGACAAATCTGACTCGTCCCCAGGTCGTCTCTCTCTCTGTCTCTCCTTAGTGACGCGAGGGTTGTGATGGGAAGGAAAAAAGCGAGGGAGAGGGTCTTCCTCCCTTTTCCCTTCTCATCACCCCCTGCTCCCGCCGCGAGCGTTACGTGAAGACAACCAAGGACAAGTCAGCCCACAAATGGCGTCGTCAGGTAGCTCAAGTGGCCGGAAAGTTTCACTTTGTTGATACTAGGGGCAATACTTTACTTTACCGGCAATTGAATACTTTTATACTTTGATACTTTGATACTGCAATTTGATACTTTACCGGCAATTTGACATTGGATGGAATGATCGTAACGCACGATCCAAAATGGCGGCTCCGTATTCTGGAGTTGTTTTTTACTTGAAACTTTCCAGGCCCCTGTTTTTGAAACGTTGGATAGCGCTATCCACCACATAGAGATTTATGTGGTGGATGGAGTTATCCACAACTTTCGAACAACTGGTCCCAGAAGTTTTGTTTTCGTTTAACTTTTTTGTTGTTGTGGCCTTGTTACAGACATTTGATGAATGCGTCCTAAATAATATGACAGAATGCGTGGATCCTGCGAAAATATTCTACATTGTTCCATTTTTTTGTGGACAAGAATCTTACTGCCGGTAAGGATGTAAATTGGTTATTTATATTATGAAACATTTTTGAAATAAGTTTTGACTTGCGAAAGTTATAATTTTTTTATTAGGCTTGGATAAAGTCTGGTCTACAAATGGCTTATTCTGCCTGCAGGCGATGCTCCTAAAAGATATGCAAAACAGCAAGGTGCACAATAAAAAGCCGCGAGTGCAACCTGCTTTTTCCCAATTTACATAAATGGTAATAAGCCCAAATTTAGACTATTTAGGCTCTTAGTAAATAGATAAATGGGTTTGTATTTTCGGGAGGAAAAAATACATTGTAGCTAAGAGTATCCAGTGGTCTTCAGCTTATTCCTTTTCCATAAAATTTGCATACCAATACATTGCAGACTTGCAGTTGGAGTGATAAGACACCTTTGTCTCCAAAGAGGATCCTGAATGTTGACTTTGTCTAATTTTTAAAAGATTTTACAAAATAAGAACCTGTTTCAAATTTTAGACTAAACAGGTTCTTGCATAAAGGGGGCTAACTGGCAAATTTAAGCCTAACAGGTTCTTGAAAACCAGCCAGGTTCTTATTTGTGGGTTTTTAATGTATTATTGACTATGCAAAAGGATACTTCCCTGCTCCTCCCTCTGGCACCTTTCTCGCCCGAAACCGCCTGCTCCCTCGGCCTTTTGCTCCTCCCTTGACCGCTTCCAGTTTCGCCAGGATCATGCTGTCGACGTTCCAAGCATTTATGTTTTTTCCTTTTCAGGAATCCTTCAAAAGTAGCTGTGAGACAAGCCAAAATAAATGTCATTAGAAATTATTTGCTTGTTGGTGTCACAGAGGAGTTAGAAGATTTTCTATTTGCTCTTGAGGCACTTCTTCCAGAATTTTTCAAAGGTGTTTTGAACGTCTACAAAGCTCCAGGTTGGATGTGTGTGTGTGTGTGTGTTTTTTTTCAATTTGTATGGCCATTGTTCTCTACCCTTTACAAAGGAGCCAGCTGTATCACATAACTTTGCTTCAATTCGGAAGTCTTGAAAACACTTAGATTAACAAGGGTTTTATTTTATCGAAAGCCGACATAAATATTATTTAATGTTTTTGAAGGAGTCACGCCACTGTTTCTATGACTTGAAAAAATAAGCCGTATTATTTTGGTAATTCGTAGCCATGTTAATCTCTTTCATCCTAACCAACATTTCTAATCATTTGTAGTTTCTATCTCCTTTTTGACGCTTTTCTATTCTACAAAACTATTTCCAGATTTCCTGCAATTTTAAAATTATTTCACACGTTGAAAACTAATGGAAAAACTCCTTTATTAAAATATTTGTTTTCTTAGAGTATTTTTTTGCCTTTTTTTGCAGGGGAGGCACTTCAAGATAAAATAACAACAACAAAAACACTGAATAAGAAAGGACCTTCTGCGAAAGTAGAGAAAATTATGATGAAAAAACTGGAATTAGAGTACGACTTTTATAACTTTGTAAAGGATAGATTTCGCAGAATGAAAGCTGAGCTTAAATCAGCTTCCTCTTAATGATGTCCGGCGCAGTGATGGAGATTTTCTCAATTACACGCTACTGACATCTTCTAAGCTCATGTATTATGAAATTTTTATTTAAAAATTGACTTCAAATGCATCTCGCTTTAAAAACAGGTAGTCATTATGCCAAATTGAATTTGGGCTCTTTTTCTTGCGGCAACTTTCATTCGTCGTATGATTTCTATTTGTATTTAGCCGGAGTATCAGAGTCTTGCGAACTTGTATTTGAGTGATTTTAAGAGTTTTGTAGAAACGCTTACAATTACAGCAGTGTTTCGCTCTGGCTTTCTCTGTTTAGACTGATCAGTCCTTTCTGGGTTTCAGTAAACAAATCACGATTTCTAAAAAAGTTGACTAGGTTTTTCAACTTTACAAGATATGTTTCGCTAGTTATAACGACAAAAATCTGTTGAATTTGTAACAACATGTGATCACATGTGATCGGTGAGCGCGAACGTCGGCGGACATGCGAAGAGAGTAGGCAAAGGGATAAAGGACCCCCTGATCGAAGGTTAATAGCATGCTTAACATCCTAATCACGTAACCAACTGTAAGTAACAAACTGAACGATGTCGGATCGATTTCAGTAGAATTTATCGATCAAGGATGCAGTTTTTTCAGAAGTTTATTTACTTCAACCTACCAACTATTATGGACAGACTGGACAGGATGTATTATTGACTACAACCTTGTCATAAATTCAATAGTTGCAAAGTTGCAACTTGAAGACGCAGATGTGGGTCACATCAAAACCAACACCATTGCTATTTGACAATTCTACGTCGTTTCTTTAAAGTTACGAAATTTCACTCTAATGGACCCCATCCGATTATTTGTTTGATAAAATTCTGTTTTTTTCCAAACTATACGTAGTTCTCAAAGAGATGATGGTAGTGGCTATGTTAGTAAATTTGTTTGACATTTATACTGTATTTATTTAAATAGGCGGATGGCCTGTTATTCATTGATAGAAGAGGTATTTAAAAATCCACTAAATTCTGGTATGGATTCAGAAAGGAATTTTGGGCTAAATGACGGTCAAAACTGGAAGACTTGCTCCAGAAGAGGTGATGGTGGTTGCTGGGGAAAATTTTGCTTCCTTCTGGTCTGTACTTATCTTTCCTTTCTTGATTCAACTGTTGCAAGTGTTTTCCAACTTGTTTTCTAGCCACTTTTCGTCATAAACTGGACTTTTGCATGCTTAGAAGTCTCAGTTAACTGTGGCTAGACCGCAACCGAGACTTGCAACTCTGCATCCGCCACAGAGTTTTCGTTATACAATATACACAGCATATAAACAACGCAGATAAACTACCATATAATCACTTGTCAAGTTCAAGTTCAATTTCAAGTTCATTTATTCACACTGTGAATGTTTGACTTAATCAATTACAATACAACAACAATATGAACAAAAACTGAAGGAGTAAAAACAGAACTAACGATACATTGAATTAAACATAACAAAAGAAAAAGTGTGTAGCAGCCAAAGGAGCCAAGCTTTCGAGTTGGCTACTCCCACGGTTACAAGTGGGTGGAGGTTATACAGTACTTATAAAAAACTAATTAAATTAAATAATTAAATAAATAGAGCTAAATAAGAGATAAGAGTTGTTCAAGATGCCTGACTGTTAAGTAGAAAGAGTTTATATTCTTTTTTAAAACTGTTCGAGGGTAGCCTGTGTACAGACGTCCCCCCTCCCTGAGAAAAAATCTCGTCTCCCGATTTTTTCTGAAGGAGGGGGGACGTCTGTACACAGGCTATTCGAGGGGAGTTACTTAATTTTCATAGGTGTAGACACTTAATTTTCATAGGTTGTCATACATTTATTGCCGAATATGGAATACCAAGTGAATCAGTGCTTCATGTGTCAATAAAATTTTATTTATCCTTTAGGTTGTTAGTTTTGTTTTACAACATTGCTGTAAAAGTTTTTTTAAATGTTCCTTTCCACCAAGCTAAAGCCAAGCAGGCTTGTGTTAGATTTTTCAAGGCGATCAGATGTGCGAAAAGTAAGAGGAAAATTAAGCCATGTATGGGTTGATTTCCACTGTCGCGTAATTTTTTCCGTGCGCCGACGTGCGCAAAATTTACGTTCGCAAATAAAATAGAGGCAATGTATGAAAGGTCTTACGTAAGCGTAAAAGTAGAACCTCGCTCATCTTCACCTTTAATCTCAGCACTTTTTATCTCTCCTCTATTTTATTTACGTGATTAAACTAGTCACGCGCGTTAACGTGCGAAGCCAAAAACGCGTCAGTGGAAATCAGCCTTAAGGGATATGCTCTGAATGCGCTAGGATGGTGTTCTTGCCTAAAAAAAAAAAAAAACAGTGCTCAAACTGCATTTGTTTGTATAAATCCGTTATTGACCAAGCTTGAGGTCAAGATTGCTGTATATTTGCCAAATTCTTTTTTGCGTCAGTTATGGACCGAGACGAAGTCGAGGTTCGATGAAAGAGCGGAAAAGAACAGCGGGAACGATGGGCCCATCTTGCCTGTTCGAGGAGCTAATCAGAGTACAGGATTTCGTTTCATCTTGCCCGCTTGCGAATACAACCATATAATAAGAATCTTTTACTTTAATTTGGTCCCACGATCAGTGATGGTTTCCGATGTTGGCCAACCTCATTCCTAAGGCATCTCTTAAGAAACTGGGAGGGGTAGAAATTTCCATGAGGAAAAGCCTGGGAACGAGGTCGAAACTAAGCGTGCTCTTTCCATTTCATTTTTTTTTCTTTTTCTTCTTCGACGCCGAGATAAGAAGATTCACAACTGTTGAGTCTAAAACCGCTCCTGTCAGTGACATTCAGACATCTTAAATTGCATTTAAATTCATGTAAATTTATAATGTGATGTTTACGCTTTTATTTTGGCTGATTAATAGCGCTACTTAGGTTCACAGGAAACGCATACTTTATGAAGTTATGCATCAAATTTTAAGATATTGTCATCAAGGCAGGTTAATCATGAAATGACAAAAATTTTCTCCGTTTTTGCTTTGCCAGTCGTTGCACAACAAAGTGTGTTTAATTCAATATCGGACTGAATTCTTTAAAACGGTACTTGTCATAAATTTTCCTTTTCTGGTGTTATTGTGGTGTGAAAAGGGAAAAAAATATGTACGGGATTCCATGTATACCTATCACATCTTTATTGGTTGTACCGCTAAAAGAGCTGAGTAAATTAAGAAATATAGAATAAAATTGCAACTCAAGACTGTTTGTGTTTTTCATGCAGCCACATTCTTGTTTTTCACACCCTTTCTCACTCAAAGTTATGTTTCTAGGGTGTAAAACTTGAAAAATTAATTGGAAACATCTTGAACAAAAGATATTGCATTACTGCAGTAGATTTGCTTTCACTCGCTATGCATCAGTGTTTGTCGACTAAAGACGCAAACTCTAGAACTGCTCGTGCTGCGTATTTGTACAACATATCAGGACCATGGTAATGTGGTCGGTCGCCTTATGTTTATGAATTCAATTTTTTGGCAAAGTTCGGTGAGAAGCTATCAGTTTTCTTCAGCGAAATTAGCAACACACCAAGTGTACCAAGATTTCAGTGCTAATATTGACAGAGGCCAGTTTAATTGCGTATAACTGTGGTAACATGTTTTACTTAGTACGTTCAATGAGAGCACGAAGCTCAATGCTGGTCGTAACATTTCTTCTTCACAATTAGCAATTAGTGCGAACTACATATCGATATGGTTCATTCTTTATTCTGAATACATGCAAAAATAAACATTGTAACAAGGAACTTGTTTTAACCATCTTGTCTTCAGTAAAATAGAATACTTTTTATATTCATTTAAATGCATATTGGATATTGTAAACATGTTAAATGATATATAACTGTTTTCGGGTCTGTTAACAGACGCCTTCTTTCTCGCATTATGCAAAGAATTGTAGAAAATAACTTTTTTTTGAACAATGCTTGCATTAAAACGTCACCAAAATTACCATGCTAGAAAGGTTCCTCGCAATTTTGCCATTAAAAAAAAAAAATTGAACAGTCACTACGCAATCGACTTCAAATAACTCCGGTCAACATTTTATTTTACGCGGATAAGGTTTATTCACAAATTACTAACTTATTTGGTTTTATTTTACAATTTACTTTTATAAATTGTATAATATGATACTACTCAACTCTCCTGATCTATGTCTCGCTTCATTGAAATTTCAGACCGCCTTGCTCAGTCAGTTAACTCCAAGTTTCTAATGAAGTATTTCAGAGTGAGTTAGCCCTTCAATCATTTTTACAGGTTAAGAATCCGTGAATACTAAGCGATGTTTTGACCCTTTTTTCCCTCTGTCGCCTGTTACAGAACCAAACCCTGACAACTTCTCTATCAAGACGTAATCCTTCAGCGATGCGGATAATTTCTTGTGAAGATGGCTTGGGCTGTTTCAGAAAATGATCTTCAAGATGTTCCTTTGCAGTGAGCCCAATGGTCGTCCGTCTTTTTCTGCGCCGTTCAGCGTTAAATTTATCTCCACACGCCCCGCCGGAGCATTCTGCTTCCTCAAGCCAACGCGCTAGAATCGGCTTCAGTTTGCACGCATTTTTGAAACTCAACTGCAGATTCTCAAAACGGCAAATAGTCGTTTGACTAAAATCTGTTCCGTGCACTGAGGCTAACGCTGCTCCAACGTTTGTTTGCGTGAAGCCTAGCTTAATCCGCCGGAGTTTAAACTGCGTTGCAAACTCTTCCAGTTCACGCAGTTTGGACGTATCGATGTGAAAACCCAAGCCATGTGTAGCAGCTAGCCCAGGTTCGGTTTCAAAGCTTGCTATAGGGTTAAGAACGAATGGAGAAGCTACATGAATGTTGGCTCGAGGGTCCATTTTGCTGCAGTGCGACACAGGCGGTAATGGGGTTGGATGCGAAGGCATCATGGTTATGGGGGTCTCTCGAAGCATTGGCTGGTAAGGCGCGTAGGAAACTTCTGTGGGATAAGGTGGACACGCCATGATTGTTGATCAAGTTAGCCTTTGATTGCCTCGCGTTTGGAGTGAAAATGGAGTGCGCAATCACTGAACCGTCATTTAAAGCAAAATCCTCGCGCTGCAGGCAATAATTTGAGATAACAAAACTCAACGCGAGCTCCTTATGAGCGGAAGACAGAAAGTCGGAAACACTGCCGATGTTTTAGGTTTCAAAGTGCTATGCTATCGCTGTTGAATAAAGATGAGATAAAGGGTATTTTATGATATAGCGCTTGCTAAAAGCTACAATAACTTTAGTTTCAACCTAAAGAGTCCAGAGTGTTCAGAAGAAAAGATAACAGAGTTTTCAAGGTGGAAAAATATTTTTAAACTCACGCTATTTTTAATGGGACTGAAATTCATCAGGAGTGCTTAAAATTTCTTTATAAAATTTCCCTAATGTTTTTTTGTCGGATGCATCTCCTTACTGAAATACAAAGTAGAAAGGATGGTGAACGCATAACCCATTCAATTAATTTCGTTTTGTTTTATTTCACGTAAACCACAGAAGTGAAGGGACGTTTATCCATTATCGCACATCATGACACATAATGACCCAATATGATAGCGGCGCGTTCGCTAAAAGTACGATTATACTTTAGCATACTGCTTATTCTTCTCCACGGTTAATTATAACCCCCAATCGGAAGTTAAACAACATTAAAACTGAGTTAAAAAATCATAACTCGAGGTGGTGTAAACTGTTGTTAGCTAAATAAGCAGTTAGGTTCCGCGAATAGAATATCGGATTTACTCGCCGCAAAAGTGCTAAGCGCTTGAATCGGTCATTTCCTCAGATTTGATTTTGAAACAATGATGCCTTTGAAGAAAAAATTTGATTTGATCAAATATCCTTGAAAAAAAAAATCAAGTTTTCTGTCCCACTGACTTTCAACAAAGAAAGCTCTTCATGTTTTTCCTTTTTCACAATTTTTTTACTGATCGTAAGGACGATTTTAAAGACAATGAAATCTTTAATGCTCCGTCAAACGATAACTTTAAAACCAAAGACACAAGTGTTTGCATATTAATGCTTCCCAAAGGAAGATGTTTAAAGATAAACGGCTGAACTCATTAAATGCGGAGAAATCATAATGGACCGAATTTCATTACTGTGAACTGAAGATCGGAGGCAGCGCAAATGTCAGGCGAGCTGGCTTTTGAATTATTCACTTTCTACGCCTGTTTCTAACGCGTTAAATGCTTTTTTAGACTTCGTGCCATTGAATGTTAACTATGCTATTGTAAGAAAGTCTTTAAAACATTTTAAACCGTTGCAATTTGTGTTTTGACGTGTGACTTACATGAAAATTAACGAAGCCCTAAATACCATCGATCTTTAATCTCTAGTCACACTTAATTCCTTGTCTCAACTCAATTACTAAGTAGTTCTTTTGTCGGACTTTCAAGTATCACGAGATATTTTGCTAGTGCAGATCAGAAAAATGAAATGTATCAGTTTAAGAATAGTCACGCGAGCGCGTGGAGTTTCTTTTGCGATAGATTAAAGTATCTAAAAACAAAAAGAACAAAAAAAGAAAGAAATTTCCTTTTAGGCGTAAGGAAAAAGTACGGTAAGACTGATCCAACTAACTTTGAACGAAGCTGGCAAAAAAGGAAATCTTAGTTACTAATTTCAGGTGCAATTTTGAACTGCAGTTTCGCTATCAAACATTCCAGCCTCTTTTTCGTTTAATTTCAAAGTCGAAAATGAGAGCCTGGCAAAATTGCCGCTGATAGATCGCAATAGATGTGTGTACTGTCTTTGGAGAATAGTCTTCACACGTATTTTATATTTCTATGATTTTGCAGATACAAAAGGCTTTAGTGGAATAAAACATTAAAAAGCTTTAGGTTTAAGTCACTGACCTTATGTCATGACATGTGTTTGAGAGAAAAAAATTTGTTCACTTATGTGGTTATCTTACGGCCCTGTACTGATTAGCCGAATGGAGGACGAGATTTTACAGAACAGCCGACTCGGGTCACGAATTCGAAGGGAAGAGCGTGAGGGCCTGGAAACTAATCCCCGCCTCTGAGATAAAACATGGCGGCAGAAATTCGCGAGAACAAGTGCGTCGTATTGAAGACTCGCCCAGGTGTAGAAAGCCAACCGAATGATTCAAACTTTGCTCTGGAAAAAAGAGAAGTTCCACCCTGTAACGAGGGAGAAATATTGGTAAAGACGTTGTATCTGTCTGTGGATCCTTACATGAGATGTCGTATGAACGAGGAAACTGGCTCAAGCTATCTTACTCCATGGCCACTCGGAGATCCACCAACTGGCGGCGGAGTAGGCCAAGTGATTCAGAGCAAGAGTAACAATTTCAAAGAAGGAGACATTGTGGAGTCGATCGTGTGGCCATGGCAGGAATTGGTGGTGTTTTCGGGCGAAAATCCACGGCTAGTCAAGGTATATAGACTGCTCACTCAAAAGCGAATGGGACATCTCAGGTTTTATCCGCACACCGCCTATGGAAGGCATAATTTCGATAGGCTCTCGTGTGAATGCCCCCCAAGGAAGGCAGGATTCCGATAGGTCCTTTGTGGCAAAATTCCCACCTGTTGTGGTGGTGGTGGTGGTGGTGGTGGTGTGGGGGGAGAAGCGGGGGTAGGGGGAGGAGGGATATAAATGATGGAATGCTCCCATCAAAAGAGGGCAGACATTAGCCCTAAGAATCTCTGGCAAGAGAGGCTAAAGGGAAGAGGGACAGTCCAGGGCTACTTAACCATTTACATGGCAAAACTGGAAATCCCTGTTGGAAAATCAAATGGTTTGTACCTATCTGTTTGGGAAACTTCAGAAAATATGGGCTGTGATTTGTGTTAATGCAATTTTTCAGTTCTTTTCAGTCTGTTAAGGTGATTTGGATATACTTTGTAGCAGTTTGTTCTCCCACCTCATCAAATTTGTAGTTTTAAGTTTATTGCACCTGTGTGGTTTGTGTAAATGGTTAGCACCCAAGATCTCAGTCAGGAGTGGGGTGGTTAGGCAATGGGGAAAGATAGACTGATCCCAGAACTCAGATCGGAATTGGAGGGGGAGGGGGAGAGGAGGATGTACTTGTAACATTTGTTATCAAAAGCTCATTCTGCCTACTCTATTCACTTTATAATCCAACATATGTTTTTGCCTTGTCAATCAAGGCAACTGAAAGGATAACAGACTGCACTGGAGTAAAACATTTTGCATTTCTAGCGATTACTAACCTCAACAAGATTAGATCAGTCAGTAGAGCACTTGATTACAGAGTGGGAGGTCACGGGTTTGATTCTCAAGGCCAGACCATTACTCGAGGTTTAAAATAACTGACAAATGAAGGTACTTCCTTTTACCCTGCAAATGGCCAGACCTTTCAGTAGCACAGTTGACCATGTATATTAAGTGGAGGTCTTGTCTCCAGTAGGGGGCATAAAAATAGTGTCCTCAATTAGTAACTTAGTGCTAAGTACATTGGCAAAGTGTATTTTTATGATAACTGAGAGTTTATTATTCATTAGGAAGAGAGTCCCTATCTTTGCTTAAAACCATCTCTTTTGTTGGGTATTGTTGGTATTACTGGTCTGACGTCTTACACTGGCATCAGAGAAAAGGCACACATCAATTCTGGCTCTAATCAAGCTATGGTCATTAGTGGGGCTGCAGGTGCTTGTGGTATGGCTGCAGGACAGGTGAGTGTTCTGGTAGCAGTAATTTCAGACTTGAGACCTTCAGAATCTAAGATGAGGATGACCATGGATATGAGATTTTCTGAATACTAAGAATAGTGTGCACATGAACGAGTGTCATTTTGGTGTGAGAACATGATAGCCTCCATCAGTCTACTATGAGTTTTAGCGAGAATGTCTTAGTGGTGGAAATGAGTTATCAAAATTTAATGTTAGAAGTTTTGTCATTTTGCAATCGGGGAGGCCTCAACCTCCTTTATTTAAGATAATAGTGCCAACTTTTCTAGTGAAAAATAGTAAAATGAAGCTTTTTTGGGAGTCCATTCTTTGAGAATATGCAAAAAATCTTTTACATGTTTTCAAATCTCAAACTCATAGTCATTCTCATCCTCAAATCTGAAGATCTCTAATGTCCAACCATTCTGATCTTGTGAAAGGTTTAAACCCAGGAGTCATTTCGTAAGTAGGTTAAGTATGATCGTCTGGGTGAACCGCATAGTCCTGGATAGGACTGTTGTTGTCGACAGTGACTGACATTTCCACGACCTGTGTGGTAGTCATCTTCATAGTGACCTTGTCAGGATTCTCCTGATTTTGCTTGAAAATTGCAAATCCTGACCAATATGCAACTGGGATAGGAAAAATCCTGATTTTGGCATCTGTTCTGATATTTTTAAATGAATTCTTATTGCGATACTTAACACCTAACTGAGTATACTTAGCCAGAACTGATGTACCCAAAAAACTTAAATAAGCCATATCAAATAAAATTGGGTATTTTTATGTGAAGCCACACAAGTGAAAATAAGCATTAAAATAGCAATCAAGTTAGGGAACATTTTAGACAGGAATGGTCAGTCTCAGAATGCTAGCATTTCAGAGCATCAAGATTTCAAAATTTCCGGGGTAGCATGCCTCCAGGCTCCCCAGTGTCACAGCACTTATGTGATTTGTCACTGATTTAAAAAATGTCCCAATTTTACGCACTCAAAAGGTTGGACAGTTCGTGATTTACTTGTGAGATGGGGGAAAGGGCTCTCAAGTTCTATCCATAACATTGGCATTTTGTGTTTTGTAGTGAGGTTTTTTATTGCTGGCACATAAGTAGTATATGATCATGGGAAGGGGGGTATTCTCTTTATTACTCACCCAAAATATTTTACAGTTCTTTTACTGGTTCCAAACCTCCAGCTAATTTTTATTCTTCATAACCAGCTGGCACTTTCCGTATTTGAAAGACGAAGGCAATAGCTCTTTGTTGCAACAATATAATACAAGCAGCCTCATTTACAGCCAATAACCACTTCAGTTGTGCAGAGCTTTAGAGCACAGCAGCCTAGCTATTTATACTGAGTGAACTAAAGAAAAATGGCATTCATGGCTATCCAAGAACGAAATTGCCGAATTTCTGACTAAAACTGAAACATCAATGGTAACATCGTCCTCAAACTGCATAATTATTCTTCACATCATACCCTGCCTCATTCAATAATAGTTTTTATTTATTTTTTATTTTTGTATTTTTTGTTTACGTTTATTGACAAAACACATATTACAGTTGCAAAATTTAAAACTAAAAGAAAGTATATAACGATATTACAGAGTGGATCGAAATTACATAAAGACGAGAAAAAATAAAAATAATACAGCAGTTGTAATAATTCACACAGTAACATTAGACCTGCTAATTAACAGATTATTCCGGCAAGATGGGATACTTACTAACTAATTGAAGGAGGGGGTTTTTCGAAATCGTATCTCCAACTGACTTTAGCCTTAAATTCATCCAAAGATAAATCTTTAGGAGCTAACTTATTTATGTACAAGTAATATTTAGCAAACAAAAGAGTAAAATCAAGCTTTTTGACAATTGCTGATGAGCTTTGATTCTTTCTTTCATTATTAAGACCAAAAATTAATTCACTTGAGGATGGTGCAAAGGAGGTGGCATTTTCAACATTGAACCATTTGATTACTTCTGAAAAAAACCACTTGGTCCAGTGGCAGTTACAAAAAGTATGAATTATTGAATCATTTTGTCTGCAGTAAGGACAATAATAGTGTTAAATTGAATATTGTTGTTGTTATTATTATTATTATTATTATTATTATCCACACAGTTTAAGGGTTGCAAGCAAGGTGCATAATGTGACAATTCGGCTTGAATTTTGGCATGAATTTATAAATTTTTCAACAATACATTGAATTTTGCAACATCAAAATGAAGAGAAAGATTGATAGCTTGAGAGATACCTGGAATTTTCAAGGAGAAAGCCTGGCATTTCCCAAAATGTATATTTAATTTTAGAAGTTGTTGCTTGATAATTATTAGTGAGAGTAAGTAAAAAGGTTTATTAATCCAGGCTAATAGATTGGATCTTTAGGTGAAGCCTCATGTCATTATTTCTCGTACTTAACACTGTACTTTAGTCAGCCATAATAATAATTATTATTGTCAACCCTGTAGCCAGTGTTTTCTTGGTTTTCACATAATGTCACCAAATTTCAAAAGTAAAGAATTATTGATCCTCCTGAGTTGTTACTTTCATGAAGTGTTAGGGCAGCTTAAGGCTTATATTTTTACAAATTTTCACTTCGAAAGGGTTCTTAATTTTGTGATAGAGTGGAAAATAAGGGCTATATAAAAACATAGTCTTTTTTGGTTATTCTTGAAATACATTTTATGTATGAATTTTTGTTTTGCTTTGGGCCAAGTAGAGGAATCACCCCTGTCATGTAGGCACGTCAATCAGGATACTGAGATCCAGATTAATTAAGTAGCTTTAGAGAGCAAGTTAATTTACATTATTTATCAGTGAGCATTGTAGCTTATCAAGCAAGTGCCTCTTGACAGGTCTGTAGACAATGCTACATGTAATTGACACTAAATTGAATTAAGAAGCAATTTTATGATTAAATTATTCTTTTTCTTAAGATTGCCAAGTTAGATGGTTGTGGTATGGTTATTGGAATCTGTGGAACAGATGAAAAATGCAACTACCTCACCGAAGAGTTGAACTTTGATTTTGCAATCAACTACAAAACAACAAAGGATATTGCAAAACAGATACAGACACTCTGCCCGGCGGGAATTGATGTGTACTTTGATAATGTTGGTGGTGAAATTAGCAATGAGGTACTAGCTTCCTTCTGCATTGATTTATGTTTTTTAGGCATATTCTCTATTGTTATTAACGACCATAATTTATCAGCAACTGTAAGCTATTTTTGATGGCCCATGTCTTTTTTTGCCCCAACTACTGGTCCAGTAATTAATGTTTTTGTTTTTTATCTTCAGGGCTGAGTTGCTCAAAGGATGATTTGTGCTAATCTAGGGCTGGCTACCATGACAACTGATATGCCCTGTTAAGAGTTATCCCAAGATTAAAATTAGAGTTACTAACTGTTGGGGTTTACCAAACGCATGCAAGGGTGTGGAGACTCAAATTCAGGCCCCTTCTCGCCGGTATTTTTGGATATTTTTTATCAAGCCAATCGTGGCACATACTCAAATCCTGGTGCACACATGTAAGGGCCTAGGAAAAGGATTTCGGCGCCATTTCGCAGACGGACTTAACCAGAGTTTAGTTTCATCTGTGGTGCAGGCTGTGTATGAGGAGAAGCTGTTAAAATATAAACACACTGTCGAGCAACAAGCAAATATTTTGAAGAAGGGCATTTTACATGTTTTGAGCTTGAAAATTCTCTGAATGATTAATAAAACAATTATTATTGAAATCGTCTTGGTATGATATGAAGAATTTTGCAGTTCCTGGAAGTGTTACCTCCCAAGGCCAAACACCTCCTCGACCAGCGTAATTCTACATATCAGCCTCGCCCAGATCATCTAATAACTGTTGATCATTGCAGGTCATTCGCTGTATGAACCAGAATAGTCACATTGTCCTGTGCGGGCAGATCTCAGTCTACAACAAAGACGTACCTTACCCTCCCCTTCTGCCTGCAGATATCCAGACCATACTCAGCAATAAAAATATAACGCGTGATCGATTCCTTGTCCTGAACTACATGGAAAAGTTTCCCGATGCAAAGAAACAGCTGGAAGCCTGGGTACGAGAAGGAAAGGTAAAGAATCGCGAAACGGTGGTAGAAGGTTTGGAGAACACTGGTCGAGCGTTTGTTGCCATGATGAGCGGCGGGAATATTGGAAAACAGGTTGTTAGAGTGGCAGACTTAACGCAATGAAAACGGCTAAATACAGTGGTATTCTGTGATAATCACATTTTTAATCGCGCTTGTAAAATGATGGATATTTAGCATCTTTAGAAAAAACTGACACTTGAAAATTACAAAAACAGATCAGACAGATAAACCTATGGCCTGTGGTCTCTCCACTGAGATGGAATTGGAAATTGAAAGTATGGGTGTTTGAGGAGAGACGCTAACTGGAATACCCGGCGAAAAAACTCTCAGAGGAGATCTTTTAAAAGAACCAACTGCAAACTCAACCCACACGGCGTCAACACGCTTAAAATTTCATATGCAAGTAAATTTACCCGCAATTGAATTCCTGGGAACCAAACCTAAGGGCCTGTTAACATGGAGGTGGGGGACCCCAGGTAGGTGAGGTAAAATATGGCGGGTCACCCCACCTATCATGTAAACGTGATCAAATAAAAATGAGAGATTATATGGGCAGGCAGGTTACCCCACCTAAGCGGGTTACCTCACCCACCTGGGGTCCCTCACCTCCATGTAAACAGGGGGGGACCCCAGGTAGGTGAGGTAACATGTAGCGGGTTACCCCACGTAACATATAAACGTGATCAAATTAAAATGAGAGATTATGTGGACAGGCAGGTTACCCCACCTAAGCGGGTTACCTCACCTACCTGGAGTACCTCACCTCCATGTAAACAGGGGGGGGACCCCAGGTAGGTGAGGTAACATGTGGCGGGTTACCCCACGTAACATATAAACGTGATCAAATTAAAATGAGAGATTATATGGACAGGCAGGTTACCCCACCTAAGTGGGTCACCTCACCTACCTGGGGTCCCTCACCTCCAGGTAAACAGGGGGGGCACCCCAGGTAGGCGAGGTAACATGTGGCGGGTTACCCCACGTAACATATAAATGTGATCAAATTAAAATGAGAGATTATATGGACAGGCAGGTTACCCCACCTAAGCGGGTTACCTCACCTACCTGGGGTCCCTCACCTCCATGTAAACAGGGGGGGCACCCCAGGTAGGCGAGGTAACATGTGGCGGGTTACCCCACGTAACATATAAACGTGATCAAATTAAAATGAGAGATTATATGGACAGGCAGGTTACCCCACCTAAGCGGGTTACCTCACCTACCTGGGGTCCCTCACCTCCATGTAAACAGGCCCTTAAAAAGCGAAAAAAAATTCGTCGAAGTGTGTTCACGTCCTACGTATCATCCATAAAACGTCCCGTGGGGGAATGTCCCGTTGTACACGTGCAGTGGCGTCAAAGAAATGTACGAAAAAAGTGCGCTGCACCTGCAGAGTTGTTTTTTCGGGCCCTCTTTGTTTTTGTTTTTTTTTTCGCAAATCAAGGCTTCGTTGTCGCAGCACCAGACGAATTTTTTACCGGTTGAAAAATAAGACCAGCCACTTCGCTCACACGGAACCGTTCAATATTTTGCGAGTCTGTTTACACGAACCTTGAAAAACTACGCGTCCATAATTTTCGTACGGTTAAGGTGGTTCCGTGTGAACGGAACACCTTAACGCACAAATTTTCAGCCGGTCGAGAATTCGCCCAGTGCCGTGTGAACGCAGCTTAAACCACTTTGCATGTTGAATTTTTTTTCTGCATAATTAATGCTACAGGTCAATTATATTCAGGTCAAAATTACTCAACCTAGGTTGGTTCTCTATTTCCTTTGTTTCCTAGCCCTAATTATTCATGAGTTAGGGCTAGGAGGCAGAGGAAATTGAGAATCAACCAAAGTCAAATCAAAGTTAACCTGAAACCAAATTTAACCTATAACAGCAACGCTCCTTGTGTTTGTCTTTCACGTAGCAAATTTCACAACCAAACCTCGTTTGTTAGCAAAACTCTTTCCATTAGCACTCTGTGGTGGGAGAGTTCTATTTCATCACTACTCACCACACTACGTTGGGAATTCTTTTTTTTTGTAGAATTTCGTAAATTTCCAATTTAAAGCGAGACTTGGTGGAAGGACGCAAACTTGCCTGCACCACAGACGAAACTAAACTTCTGGTTAAGTCCGTCTGCGAAAGAGCGCCGAAATCCTTTTCCTGGTCCCCCACCTGTGTGCCAGGATTTGAGTATGCGCATGATTAGCCTGTTAAAACAGGGTTAAAAAAGACATCGTCGATTCTCCAATCAGCATGAAAAGAAATTCGAAACGCACTTCTGGTAATTCGTTGAGTCAGTTGGGCGCCCAGAACAAGGATATTTGCGCTGCTACTTCGCAGACGTACTAACCGAGGTTAAATTAAGTCTGCGGCGCAGGCTAACGCAAACATACATGAGCGCTATTGGCTGAACTCTCTGCTCCCGTCACTACCCCTCCCCAAAAATACAACGATAATCCTAGACAAATAAATATTTTTTTTCTTATCAAAACAAAAGACCTCAAACTTTCTATGCCACAATATCTGTGGGTGGTGTTTCGTAAGAGGTTATTCTATTTTTTTTTCATAACAATTTAATTTGAAAATCCAACCAGCAATTATAACTTTTAGACTAATCGAACAGTGACCCTTAAATTGCAGGTGATCTTTATTACGGAAATTAATAAAGAACCAAAAAATCGCCTTTTGCCGATTTTTTCACCTGATTTTACATTAAATGGCCGGATTGGGTTGTTTTATGCTGAAAAGTGGATTTTTGTCAAAAAGCTTGGTACTTTGCTTAATCAAAAACCCTAAAAATCGCCTTTCGCCGATTTTTTCACCTGATTTTACATTAAATGGCCAGATTGGGTTGTTTTATGCTGAAAAGTGGATTTTTCTCAAAAAGCTTGGTACTTTGCTTAATCTAAGATTTCTTATTTTGTGAGGATGGAAAAAATTGAAGGTTATTCGCCGTTGCTAAGCTATGTGAAGGATTATACTAGCACGTACCAGCAAGATGGATTAAAATTCAAATTAAGCTCTGATTGTGTACATAAGTTAAACTCATTTTTACCGGCTGTAGCCCGTTTCGTATTTCGATTATTGTCTGGATAAAATATCAGTGCAGGCTCGTTCTTGTAGTTTTTTGTTCCTTGGTTTAACGGCGGAGTTACACGCAAGAAAAAAACGAGCGCGACCTCGAAAAATACAAATCAAGGACGCACTACTACAAGAATATATTTTCACGGTTCTTTGAAATTTACGATGCAATCAGTTGAGGGTAGTGGTGAAAATAAGGCTGGTGATTCAGGACCGTCAACGGAAACAGCCGAAACAACGAAGAAAAAGCGTCCACGTTCTCGGGATATTACACAACTAAAGGCAGAGGCTGAAAATATGAAATTATCACTCTCGTCTTTGGCATCGGAGCGCGAAAAGTCACAGGCAAAAGAGAGGACAGCCTTTTTTGACAATCTTTTTGAGCTCGTACAGACGACGAATGTGAGGATGGACAGAAAAGTTCTGGAGCACATTGGGGAACTGTTAAGACTTAACGTACACCCCGATAACATCGTAGAATTTCTTAGTACAGTGAGAGCAAAAGAAGAAGAGGAAAAAGAAGTTATTTTTATTTGAAGATAAAGTGATCACCGGCCCGTGTTTGTCGTAGAGGTTTACGGTTAAATTAATTACTTTTAGGCTGAATGATTTTGTTTTTACTCCATCTAATGCCGAGTATCCGGTAAACATTTCTTTTCTTATCGTAAACTTAGTTTTTATAATCATGTTTCGTGATTTTGTAATTTTCCTTGATTTACTTAATTTTTGTTTTTGATTCTACACCTGAGTAGAGATATCAAATGTGCAGGGTGTTAACTTAAACTTATACAAACAGCCACACACCTGTCTTTCAATGCAGAAGATATATTTATTCCGTTTCATTATTTGCCTTAATTTTCTTTACATTTTCAATGAACAGGAGAGGCGTTAGAATTTCATGGAAATTTTGTTTTTAGCCATGTTTGTTTTGCCTAAGTGTTGAATTTCTTTTCTGAAGGAGTAGCTATGTAACTTTTTATTTACTTAATTTTACCCTCAAAAATGGTATTTATTATAATACAGCTAACGCATACGTATTTATTTATTATCTCAATAAGTTGACAATTCGTCTTGGTTCTTAGCTGTTACGCTATTCTGAGACTGGGTCCTTGTTGGGTCATGGGATGCTTTTGGGAACGAAGTTTGACCCAGTTTCTTCGCAACTTTGTAATACCCAACAAAAAGGCGATAGTGTCCTCAAGACAATCCCTAAAACAGTTCGACACAACGCCGAGGCAGTCTCTCGCTCAGCCTCAAAATAGCTAAGTACACTTCTGAATAGCCTACGCTAAGGCCAGAAGGAGAAGAATGAAAAAACAAACATTCAGAATTAAATTAAAACATGCAAAACAAAAGTATCATTTAGACGGGAAGCCCGGAAATTTGGGATGGGAACTTTAATCCAGTTTTAAATTCGTCGCGGCCGCTGAACAGAAGCACTTAAGACTCATTTGTACAGGGTTAGCCTCGACCTAAGGTAAATATATTCACAAATTCCAGTATGAAGAAGACCAGTGTACAACTGTGTCTACTGTTGAAAACTCAAATTCAGGCACCTCGGTGGTATTTGTGAATATTATAATTTAGGTCGAAGCTAACCCTGTATAAATGTGTCTTCAGTGCTTCTATTCAGCGGCCGTGACGAATTCGAAACTGGACTTAACAGACACCTTTAATGGCGCAGAGAGACTAAACGTGGAATGATCAAGAAGCGAAAGAGCTAACAAAGTACAAGACGGTAAAATGTTGCGCATACGGCTAACCCGGATCATAACTCTGCTCCGCATCATTCTCGTCCCGAGAGCCTTAACCCGAGAGCCCTTCGTTTCTTTGTCACGTGGTCTTGAAACAAATTAAGCCGAGTGGCTCTGGGGACGAGAATGGCGCCGCATAGGACAGCATGAACCTTGCAAAGAGTGGAGGTATGAGATATAGTTACCTTGCTGAAATACCAATATTGAGAGGAAGCTGAATACCATGGAAACAGAAGTGGATATTCCAAAGACAGCTGTGATTAACCTGAGATCAGGCTCTATTTTCGTTCGCTTTGAAAATTACATTCCGGCAGGCATGGCGAAACGAAAAGAGTGGATCAGGCCCAATTTTAGCGGTAGCCGTTAGAGAGAATGTATGAGAACCGCTAAAATTGGGCCTGATCTCAGGTTAGCTGTGATAAAAGGCGCCTCTTTTTCCTGTAAGAGAAGGGGCTGAGGCATTGAATCGTGATCTCCAGTTTCAACCTAAATTTCTCCTCTCCCTTCTCTGTCGCACTATTTTTGACTAGCGATTAAGTTAATAATAAGCTTTTTTCTTAAACGGAATTGCTATAAACAGAGGATATCACGTTTTCGTAAAACGGCAAACTTTAGTTTGTACCACGTGACTCGGCAAGTTTTTCCTTTCTTGTTGTTTACTATTAAATATGATTACACAGAAATAAATAGTTTCATGTCAGCTTTATCCACAAGAATTGTTTCGGACGATTCTATCTGCTCATGTCGTAATCTGAGAAATCGTTACCTAGACCATGATGCGACGTGTTCTATTTGCTGTAAGCGTGATTCTAATCTCCGTAATGGTAGCTTAACAAAGTATACTACAGGCATTCTTGAATAAATAAATTGTTGTTTTTTGTTGAATAGTAATATTGGGAACTTTCTATTGATTTTTCTCATTATGTTAATGTGATATACCATAGTCAAGATTGACCTACACTCCGGACACCTTAAAGGGGCACCTTCAACCAGTGTGCATTGCGGTCGTGCACTTCGCCGAAATAATTAGTTGTAATACAAAAATTACGAACGTTCTAATTGTGTTTGAAGATCGGATTGTATCTTCACAACCCAAGGAGATAACAAGCTGTGATACCCTTCTTAAAAGAAACAGAGATACAATCCTGTTGTCAAACACAGAAATCACGTTCGTGATTTCTGTATTACAGCAAATGATTTCGGTGAAGTGCACGACCGCAATGCACACCGGTTGAAGGTGCCCCTTTAAGAGTTTTAAATACGGTTGTATTCTTTATCCCTTGTACAACGAAAGGGTACCCTTTTTTAGGAAGAGTAATGAGAAAATTGAGTTACGAAAGGATAGGAACGGAGTAGTAGTGATGAGTCTAAAGAGTCAGGTTAGTTTTGTCTTTCTTCTTTTTCAGTAAAGAATAAGGGTCGGGTCATAATGTGCTACTGACCCGCTGTCCTGTTCGTGGTTTGTTCGCCTGGTTGGCTCTGCGAACGTGATTACACGGCAAATTTCCAGTTCCGCTGGAGCCGGAATCCCGCCGGCATCACGTTACCGAGATTATGGATAACTAGGCTGGAAATTTTCCATGTTATCATGAACTTGATATTCAGTGGCGTAGCGTGAGATTTTGAAGGTGTACTACTAACTCAAAGACACCAATCAAGAGAGAATATAGTGCGAAAAATGCGTCAGTCATCCCGATTTTATGATAAAAAAAATGCTTTTTCAGAAAATAATTTTTTTTTTTCCATATTTCATCTGTTTAAACACGGGCGTGAATGCGTGTATGGACGCTGCACTCCCGATATTTGTTGCGTTTAATTAACGTACCGAGATCTCGACAAATCGAGCCAGCCCGTAAAACCAGACCAATCCGGCTTGTGTAATCAGCCCTTCACAGACTGAAACACTGGGACGCAGCCAGTCTAGTCCCTAGGCGTTCTCTCTTGCCCGTTTGTCGGCGCGAAGTCGGGACTTTGTCGGCAAGTCTCTCTCGGTGACGTAACAGCTTACGACGGAGTCAGTTGACCGAGCCGAAAGCACCGAGCGGGACTAGGCTGGGACACAGCCAGATCTTGTGAGAATAGTGTCAATGCTTATTCACTTTATTTTCCCATCTTAAGAAAACCTTAATATTAGACGAAAAAACAATAGGAATAGAAAACAATTTTAACGAAGACGGGGACGACAGCGAAAACTTCACCATTTAAAAGACTTCGACTTTTTTTCAAACTTTGTCGCGATTATTACGACTCGCGTAAAATTTTAAATGTAGTTGAATTTCGCACAAATGTATAGTCTTACGCTTTCTTAATTCCTCCATAAAACGTCGCTCGAAGAGGGAATTTCACTTTGTAATCGTGGAATGACGGCACAGAAATGTACAGAAAAGTGTTCTGCGCGTGCAAAACTTTTGTTTTTACTTGATTCAACCTATTGCTTTTTTCCTGTTCTCGTTTGCCGTCGCCGTCGTCGTCTCTAACGCTCCCTACAACGTTTGCGTGCGGCCTCAAACTTTGCACTGTTAATGCCATAAGATATAAATGGAAGCAAACAACTGAGTTCTCCTCCCTCCCCCGTGACTTCGCGATTTCTGATTGGAGAACGTGTTCGCTTGCCTCGGATAAGTGCAGTACTCTGTACACGTAGTAGTAGACTGATGTAAATCAGGCTGTAAATTAAAATTTTTTTGTTCACTAGGGATTAAAACGGAATTAGTTCTATTTTTGAACGCACGTACACAGCAAACTTGTCCTTTATGTGGTACGGGTAAAAGGGTGCTCATAAAAACGGCAAGCCATGCCAGTTAAAAATTTCTCATTGTCGACTTCTCCTGGTAGAGACTATGCTTTACAGGTTTATCTGTTTTGGTTCTAGAAGCAATTCACTTCATCATCAAATAGTCAAACAATTGAGGTATAAGAAACTAATCTTTTAAGCAATTAAAGAGCAGTTTTAGGAGGTAATGATACGGTCATGAATTAGTAAACTGCCGGTTTGAAAAGGACAAAAGATTCAATTGTAGTGGTTTCGTTTGACTTTCCGCCTTCGGGCGAGTAACGATTTCAATCCAGCTATTTTTTATTTTTTCCTTAATTGCTGACCATTGGAAATTTATGTCAAGTTTTGCTACGAAGGCGAACGCTTTAGTTCAAAATGGCTCATCGAAATGATTCCTTATTATCGGTTGTGTTTAATTAGTTGTCAATAATCTGTTCAAGTTCAAAAGTACTTTGCTTGTTCCTCTTTTGTGTTAACACGACCCACATTGAATCAATGTAAGCACGTCACAAAAGAGGGCTAAAGTAGCTGATCGCATTATTTCCAGGTTGTACTTAAAATGACAATAGCAATTTTATTAACTGTTAGGTAGAAGAATAAGCACAAGAGCAATTTAAGGGTTTGTTTACATCTCCAGCGAACCAGTGTGCAAGATGGAGTACAGGGTTTCGGGTCTCTCGCAGTTTACCCCTGGGTTCAACCTGTCAAGGCGAACAAGCCATATTTATACAGCACCGACAAATAAAGGTACTTTTACAAGAACGGGAATATATACTATTGAAGAACCAAGAAAGAAAATTCTAAAGCGGCCGAAAGCCAAAGAATATGAAATCATCTACAAAGCGTACTTGGAAATTAGAGAAGAAAGCAGCGTTCTTCGGAAAGAGAATCAAAAACTTAAAGACGATCTGCTGGATGCCAAAGGAAAGACACTGTCCTTATCACGAGAGAATGAGGAGTTAAAAGAAGAGCTTTCCGTCCTTCGCGAAACAGCGAACTGGGGGCAC